TGTTCGGATGGGTTTGGAAACCCTCTGAACAGGTGCAAATCAGAAACCTACTGGAGTGAAGAGAGGTGATCGGAGAAGGAAAGGGAAATGAAGGAACTAGTTCGAATTTGAATTCGAAAATTCACGGCGACAAGCGCGTGTGGTGGATTTGGATAAAGCCTACTTTATTCATAACTTCCCTCCTTACAAAACTTGGGATGCCCCTTGGGGCCAATTCCAAGTATGCCAACCTAGAGTTTATATACTCATATAAACTCTCTCTTTGTTTTAATATCGGACAAGTCATTTAATGAGCAAACCCATTTTGTCTCTTGAACTTCCATTTTTACAAACTCGAAAATGACGTCAACTTCCTATTCACTTGGAAATATTTTTGATGAACTGTCTTCGAGGCATGAACACATGGCAATGAACACATCACCACTCGGACCCACCTCAAATGGTGCATGGGTCCCGCTTCAATTTGGGTTCAAAGTTGCCTAAAAATAAGCCTAGAAGCATAAACTTTCCAACAGGGTATGGGAGGAGGGTGAAGTTTTAGTCTTATGTTTGGTGTTGGGATAAGGGTTTGGAAATGCTTTCCAGTTGTGTTCAGGATAGCAACAAACAAAAAGGCTTTAGAGGTATAAATTTGGCCTGGCCTGACCTACTCGGGCCGGCCCATGTTGGGTCACACAGTCTCCTGTCAAAATTTGGGCTGGGTTAGGCCACAGGCCAGAAAATTAGGCCCTAGCTCGAGGGGGTATTCGAGCCTTGGGCAGGCTGGCAGGCCTGGGCCTAGGCTCGGGCTTGGGTGGGCCTAAACATTTTTTTTCTATTTTTTCCACCAAAATTTTATTCTTTTCCACCAAAAATGACATTAGGCCTTAGGCCGGACTTTGAATAGGTCGATGGATCGAGCCAAGCCGAGCTCCAAAACACACGACCTAGGCTCAGCGTCCCGAGCTGTACTTGGGCCCGGGCCTAATCAGCCTTAGTCAGACCAGGCCTGCCAGGGTTGCGAGCTCGGCTTCGAGTGGCCCACGGGCCATTTTTATACCCCTAGAAGGCTTCAATTGCTAATTTTCTTTCATAGGAATGGTAATAAAGTTCTTGGGGGATGCCGAGGGAATGTTTGGTACAACTTATTGGGGCTACTTATAAATTTTGTTATAAAAATATGTGCCAAGGTGTGTGGTACAGCTTATGATGAAAAAATAGTTTAAATAAGCTACCAAAAAAAAATTTAATTAACAGGAAGTTGGGGAAGAGATTTTTTCTGATTATCAGTTTTTAACTTATAATAAGTTGCACCAAATATGGGAGATGGTTGAACCAATATATAGGAAACCAAACAGGATTAGTGGGTTCAATTAATTGACCCGTTGACCAGTCTAGGTTCTGGTCCCCATGGACCGCCAAACCCAATCCATGGAGAAAACCAACTTATTTTTGTTAAACCGGAGAAAACCACGCTTGACCTGGTCAACTGTTAGAAGTATGATGCAGTTGATCTTACACACGATTTTATCAATTTTTAATTTTTTAAAAATTTTTTATATAATGCTATCAGTATTGTCAATAATGTTCTATAAATAACATAAATATTAGGTAATTAATGTAGTCTTTTAATAATCATTGTATAGTAATTTTTTATGTTTCTAAAATTTCTTTTAAAATTTTTTTTATAAAAAAAATGTAAAAATTACGTTTCTAAATTTCTTTCAGAACTTTTGTTTACAAAAACGAATGTAAGTAAACAATAGTGTAAATTATCATGTTTTATAACACATTCGAAATGAAAATAGTAATATTTTTTAAATTGTCATTATATAGTGATTTTAAGTATTTAGAGTTAAATATAGGAGAAATTAGTGAAACATCCCTTTCCAACTTTTAGTGCTAATGTTTTTTCTTATTAGTTAAGAGAGACATTTCAAATTTTTCTGTGATGAGCTGAAATTTCTCCATGTTGAAATTTCTTTGTAACAAAATTTATCTATGTAAATGTTATATGATCCCAACTATTATGAAAATATTACATGTCATTTATTTTATAAAATCTTAATATCAAGAACTTTAAACTAAAAATCCCTTAAATATATTACATATTTTCGTATCTAATTATGATACTCCCTCTGTCTCAAAACAATAGTCCGTTTTGGAGAATCTAACTTTTTTTTGTAGTATAATTATTACACTTTAAAAATTCTGATTTTTAAAATTACCCTTTGATAGTATATTTTTTAAAGAATATCAATTGTCATAATTATACTTTTTATGTTGTTGATGAATTTAAAAGAAGGATAAAATAAGAAATTCATATTATTTTAGTTCTTAATTTTTTAAAATAGACTAATATTTTGAAATAATAAAAAATAAAATAAAAGGCTAATATTTTACGACGGATGGAGTACTAAACATAATTAGTAGCGTTTCTATCCATGCAAGCATTAGGTAGTGAGTGAGTTGTCATATTTGCCTAGGAGTAATGCTAGAAAAAAAGTTTGAGAGCTCTAATTATGGAGCTCTAGAGAACTCTAATGGTATGTAGGTTCCACAATGATGTGATGTTTGTGTCTTGTGTTTTTTTTTTTTTTTCATTGCCAAATCATTAGAATTCCAAAATTAGAGGAATGTATTATTTTTGTATTTAAAAATAATGAATGCTTGTGATAAATAAATAAAAAAAAATCATTATGTTGATGATATATTTTTTAAAATGATATATTTTTTCAATGATATTTTAAATCAAAGATGAAAAAACATGAAAAATAAAAAATTCAAAGATAGTTTTTAAAAATTAAACTAAACAGATTGATGATATCATTTCATTTGAAGTATTTCACTTGAAAAAAGAAGAAGATGGAGGTGACGTATTACAATTTTTAGTTCAAGGGATAAAATGATACAAGGTAATAGTACAACAGAATAAAGTGTACTTTACCTTATAATTTATGTTGCATTTATTTTTCCTTGTGTATATCTGTATCCATGAAATATTAATAAAATTTCAAATTTATGTACAATCCATTATATTAATGGATATAGAAGAAGTATCAGATATTTTCAAAATAACATATTATGTGATGTTGTCTATACAAAAATGCTAGAGGTGTTAAAAATTCTATTAAAAATTCTACCAAATGTCTTACATGAGTGTGAGACCCATAGGGGACTCATATCGTGTAGGTCTCACGCCCATATAAAATATTTAATAGAAACTTTGATAAAAATTTTAAGATTTCTAACATTACTCTTGTCTATATAGCATCCTCATTCAATACAAAATACTGAACTTTGGTTCTTGTGAGATTTCTAATCTTTAATACAAAATATTTGATAAAAGATTTCTAACATTACTCTTGTCTAAAACAAAACTGCTTGATAGCCCATCATGTTTTCACTAGAGACGCATAAATCGGAAACTGAAAACTCGTAGTGAGGTTAATTTTTAATATGAAAACTATTAGTGGGTTACTCTCCAGGCGAAGAGTAATATTAGGATTACAAATATTTTATCAAATATTTTACTAAACGTCTCTCATATCAAATGTTTCATATAGATGTATGTAAAACATTTGGTAAAATATTTAGTAAAACATTTGAGATCTCTAACATTAGAGCAATGATTCATAACTCTAAATTTGAAGCTCTAACAATGGCACTAATGATGTGGCATGGAACAAAAAAGAAAAAGACATATATATCAAATCATTCATAAGTGGGGCCCACTGCCACATAAGTAGAGCTCTCATTAAAACTTTACTTTTAGTGCTCTCAAATATTTTTGTCTTTATACGATGATATTATATTCAAATAACCAAAATTGAGCCAAACTCAAAATAAAAATTACTATGGAAGTTGAATCGGTAACCAAATCAAAAAAAGATAAGAAAAATATATCAAGGTAAAAATAAAAAATGTGAATTAATAGTGAGCATGGCAAATCTTCAACGCCAACAATACACTAGCAAAATAACAACGAGACGACAGTGAAGATGGAGATCTGAAAGAATGCACCGGTCAAACGAAACCCTTCGCTAATGATGGAGATCTTCAACAATGACGATAGAGATTTATGATGTTCTGAAAATAGAAGTCTATGGTGTTCTGAAGATGGAGATATTTGAGTGTGAATTGTGGTGTGTATTCAAACAGACATGTGGTGCTACCTTAGGATTAGTAATAAAAAATTAAGATGTGAACTAAAATATTTTCAAATTTTAAAAATTATTATGTGTGGGTACTAAGTAATGGGGTGTATTAAGAAGATTAGTGATGTGTAAATAGAATTATCCTAAGAAATTTTGCACAATCTACCGCCACCAGCAGCTACAATACAAAGCATTTTCAGTCCAAAATCAACAGTATAAACTTGTTTCTACATTTAAGTCATTATCTAATTTAAGACCAGCATGCGAGCACTAACAAATCAACTTGCTAAAGGAAAGAGAGATGGGGGAGGGATGGGCTGTGGTGTGGGCCTTAGGTGGTGAGGGAGGGGACAGTGGTTAGGCGGGTATGCGATAATTTGTATCATTAGTGGGAGAGTGCAAAATGGCAGTAGAGACAGACAATGAAAAAGATTCCTCAAAAAAAAAAAAAGACAATGAAAAAGAAGCGTGATCAGATGAATGAGTAATGGTACACATCTATGAGGTTGGAAACTATTGGTGAGAAGGGTACCATTTACTTAATCGTTGATAAACAACAGTCTATAAAATTCTCTCTTATCAATGAGTTGGGGACACTAACATTAGTCATCCTCCAACAAGACAACCAAAATGACTTGATTTCTCACAACACATTAAAAGCAGAAATAAAAATATACCCTACTTGATTCTGAACATTTTCTAAACTCAAAAAGTTTGTCCAAATGTCCCCTTTCTGGACTGAACGTGATGCGACACCTGAATGTCTAGTATTGAAGTTGAGGAGGACAAAGTGATATTTCGTAATAGTAAATGGGGTGCCCATGTAATAATCAACCCATTTCTAAATTCCTACAAAGAAACAACTGATAAAACACAACTCAATTTTAACTTCCTTTCAAAGCAACAGTTGGATACAAACATCGACCACCCTCACATGCATGACAGGCTAGTCAGAAACCAATAACAAAAAAGAAATCTCTCCCTAATGTATTTTGTTCTAAACTAAGTAACTTATCAGATGAAAACAAAATGGGGCAAACTAAAAGTGAAAAATGACAATGAAAAAAACAAACACACCATCTCTAATAAGATTTAATCCTAGTTTTGTTAGTTGACATTTACATTCAAACTTTGACAATGGATTGAATTAAACTTCATCTGGATACTGGGGATTTTCTCCAACTAGAAGACTGATATTATGAAGTTTGAATATCGACTTCACAGAACCTCCATGAATCATCATCTTGCCTTTTTAGAACATAATGTATTCTATACATGCTGCAATCAGTAATTTCAAGATTAATAAAAATAAAACAACGAAATATATAAAAGATCAGTGGAAAATGGAAAATGCTCACACATATTCAGCAAAATTATAAGGAACATTCAGGGAAGGCTAAATTCAACTTCCATCAAGAATCGACTAAAAAAAAGAACTTCCATCAAGGGATAGAGTACTGTACAAATCATTTAACAGTAATGCATAAGATGGAATGGTCAACCCAAACTGACTAACAGACAGCTTGAGCATGGGTTTAAAGCTCAACCTAACAAGGTCGATTTTTGGTTGGGTCAGAGTTCTTGGGCTTTAATTACATGTCTCAACTTTAACCCCAATCATTCCATTCACTAATGTTTTGCTTAGTTATGTTCTTGTGTGTAAGACATCAAGCATTCTTCCGATATGCATTTTACCACTCAGAGACATTAGTTTTCAACCCTCACATTTAACTGGTTTAAAATATCCGCTTCAACATCTATCGTACACATCGTCATTATTTAATTTGTTAAATGATTTGTTCATTGCATGTTTTTCCTATCACATATCTCTTATTCTTCAAATTTTTATATCCTGGGCAGACTCCTTTGGGTGGGGCTTGTTCAACCAGGCACAAGTTGAAGCACTACAGAAGTGAAACAAAACAAGCAAGCCAAAATCATATGCCCAAGTGCCTCTAATTATATTTACCTGTAGTAATTGGGATTCTTCAGCTGAGATTCATCCACCAGTTCAGCTGCTTCCTCCAGAAGAGCCTCTATTTCTGCCAACTCTCCACCAATCCCATCTGAGAAAATCTCAGCTCGTATGACAGACAATTGCAGCAAAACAAATCTCCAAAAACAGGACCTAGCTTTTGCTGCGTCAGCCAAAGCTTGCCACTGCCAGCCAAAAACACATTAAAGAAAGAAATGTTACATCAACCATTTACCTGTAAGGTTTAAAAATGAAGTACTAGGGGATACAAAAAGTGCCAGCACAACTCTCCAATACAATGCTGTTGAACAGAGGCAACCTAAAAATTAGAACCTGGCTTTTGGTATCTAGCCATTTCATTATTTCAATCACTCAAATTTGATGGTTTCCATACAAAACGCCCACTATAGACAACTATCTAATATAATCTCTAATAAGTAAGCGCCCTTATTTGACTGCATCAACTGACCATCAAATAAAAATTACCATAATCTTGATAAAGTAGTTAATTTCTTTTAGTTATTTTGTTGAAAAGTAGGTTAATATATGAGTAGCCCACAATCATCAGATCATCCACCAAGTTGGGAGAGTGATGGTACAATGAATATATTTTTTTCATATTTATATAAATAAAAAAAACAAAACTTTAGTAGAAAACGCCAAGGTGATAAGATGGACTGAGCTATTAAATTATACAAATACACAAGACAAATGCATGTGCACTTGCATGAGCGTGTTTCTATCTTACCTGAATAAGCATTGGCCCATCAAGGACCTGAAAGAGGCTATGAACCTTATAGCTTGGCCCAAGAGCTTCAGCTTTGATGATTTGCCATTGCTTAACAAGTGATTCAGCTTCTTCCATAGGCATCGGCCTCTTGTACACTGCTGTCATAGAGGATGAAAGACTAGCAGCAAGGCATGAATTTTGCAAATTTGCAGCATCTGGGTGGTTCCCAAGCCACATCGTAAACATTGAAAGTAGCTTCTTTAGTTTGTAGGCAACACTATTTCTTTTGATACAATCAGGGCCCAAATTTCGATCTAGAGAAGAATCTAGGGTCCAGGCATGGGAACTAGTGTCTATTCCTGGTTTGCCTGAAGCACTTCTAGTTGAACATCTCACCCTCCATAACTGCAATGCTGATAGCTTACAGGTGGCAAATAGAATGCATCCCAATGCCATAACAAAAGTAATCCTTCCAACCACATTGTAAAATTCCAACCAGCTTTTCCAAATTTTATGATTGTCTGCACCTAAATTTCTTTTCAACTGAACAGATGCCATGCTAATATTGCTTTCATTGTTATTCTTGTCTGCCATCAATGTGCCTTGCAAATTAGATGGAGCTAACTGCTTTACTGCTGGCCCGAGATGTTGAGAAGAGTTTGTATATGAAAGATCCAAAGCCCTACGATCTGATGCAGGAGCAGGGGAAAGTGGTCTCAGGCTTATACTAGACATGGTCTGTAGAGATCCTCTAATCTGCCTGTTTCCAGAAGCTTTCTTTTCACCACTAAAAAAGTTGACCTGCAGGGAGTAAACAGAGACACCAAAATCCAGTGTCGCTTCCCCTTAAAAAAGTAAGCATTATTTATTTTTTTAAAAGCAGTCATTAAAAATCTTACCAAAGATGGAGAACAGTCTCGTGTATCAGGAAACAAGCTAAGCACATTATTCTTCAGCCATGTTTCCTGGTCAGTGAGGCAGACTGAGAAATTACAAACTTTCAAGACGAGTATAAAGTTCACAGTCAAACTTATGTATATAGTGTAAAGTGGCATCAAATGGAACACAGTCCAACCATGATCATTACTGTCATTAGTATTTAGCACACAACATAGCCCACATTTACTTCAATTGAAACTGGAAGGAAGACGAGAAAAATGACGAATACAAAAATTACATTGGGCTATCATCATTGTAGTTATTCACTGACCAATGAGAAAATGTGATTAACAAAATGACCTTAAACCAGAGGCAAATTCTGTAGCACTAGTCTGTTTCTTAGGAAGGCAAAATACAAGAACATATCCAGGGAAAGCAGGATCTTGTCTAATGGGCATATAAACAATAAAAAAAAAAAAAAAGGATAAAAAAAAAAAAAAAAAAAAAAAAAAAAAAAGCCCCTTTGAGAGAAGAACACTCTTTGGGCACTTCCCCAACGCGTGTCTGACACTCTTCAAAACATGTCCTATTTTTTAATTTTTTTTAAACAAAATAACTTAAGATACAATAATAAAACAAGAACCATATAAATTTATAAGAATTAGTGTCATATTACATTTTTTATTATCTTTGAATTATATATTCATATACATATTATATAACAAATATATAAAATTATATATTTTATGTGTGTTCCTTACGTGTTATATCCTACATTTTTTGAAAATTGGCATGTCGGTATGTTCGTGTCATATTCATGTCATGTCGCGTGTCTGTGTCCATGCTTCTTAGATAGTACATGTTCAGCCGTGAGAAGAACAAATTGTTCTCTTTTACGTAAAATTTTGTTTCAATTTTGTAACCAAGCCTAGGATGGTTTTAACCCCAAAAAAATATTGAATTTTCATTTCAATGATTCAAGCACTGGTTTAAAGGGATCTTTGTGGGATAATTAGCATAAGAGAATTGAATGTTTCCGCTACCTAATCAGATCATACCCCTATTACAGAAGTAATACCAATTTGGTTTTGGTTAGGCCTTAGTAATCTAAGACTACTAACCGATCACTACTCTATCACTGTTGGGGTGGGATAGGATCGTGACATATAGTCTCCACACAAGTTTGAATGATTTATTGCTTATCTAAAAATATTAAATAAATAAATAAAATGGTCGAGAGATTTATAATTCTTTAGCATTTTAAATAATTCTTTAGCATTTTAACACTTCAAACCTCTGTTATCAGAATCTTACGATTAGCGATTCGATTCACAATTTTTGCAAAATCGATACGAATCTACAGATGAATCTATTTTGGAGGTGAATCTCTAGTGAATCGCACGATTCACGATTCGATTCACATTTTACGATTAATGCAATTCTTGAAATTACTGCATCCGACATATTTTCGACTCTCGTTTTCTTCATCTTTTTAGTGAAAATGATATAATACAACTTCTAATTTCGTTTAATACCAAAATAACCAATATATATAAATGATTTGTTGTTATTTTAGTTATCATGGAGTTTTTAATAAGATCCAATCAAATTTAGTCAGACCTAACATATTTTTAACCTTTATTCTCATTTTTTCCTTTAAAAAATCATTGTTTAAGATTAAAGTAGCTAACACCATGAATTATCTATTGCTATATTATTAAATTGAATATAATTGAATATTACATGAATGACATCAGTTATACCTTTTAAAATGTTATAGGCTTTAAAATAAAAGATCATAAATAATTAGTTCTTATTATTTGGTCACTATTACTTAAAAAAGTATGTAAGCTTATTGTCCAAATATCAATATCGTTGTTAATTATTGTTACTTTGAAAATTGATAGTTTGTCTATTTAGTTAATGTCTTTATTAAGAACAGTTGATAAGAAATATTTTAAAAATTAAAAAGGTAATATGGCGATCTTACATAGGAACCTTTGTTAACTTCATACTTATTAAACTACGTGATCATCATTCAAAATAACATTTTCATTGATTTAAGTCTAAATATTTCATATTCATAAGATATATTTAACATCTAACTGTGTAGACATATTTTTCTAAGTAATTTAAAGAAGGTGACCGAATCTTTACAATTCACAATTCAATTCGATTCAACTCACGATTTGGTACGTGGCTATTTCGATTCACAATTCAAATCCCGATTTGACGACTATGCTTCAAACCATAAATCCATACAACTTCAATTTGTTGGAGAATAACAAAAGCTTCTAAAAGTAAGACATTGGAGCTTTCTATTCCCACTTTTTTTCCCAATATATAAACGTAAAATATGATTTTTATTATTATTATTTTCATATAATAAAAAGTAAATTACTATGTACAAAATGATTAATTTGCTTTTATTTTCATATATTTGTGCAATCTTTTTTATAAGAATTTTAAAAAAGCATACATATGTGCATGATAAATATTTATCTATAAACATATCCCCACCTCATTCATATCCTTATCTTACAAAAATTGTTGTGTCGCCATGTCCATATTATATGCATACATGTCATGTGCACGTATCTTCCTAGCAAAAAAGACATACCAGTGATTTGTTTGCACGAGAAACATCTTTGCCCACTATTGAATTTTGTGAAGCGGGATCTGAATTCAATTCAAGTTGCTGAAGCCTTCCCACAACCTCTGCCTCATCAGCCTGATGTAATGAGAATTCAATTTACTCAATGTTTTTATAGGAAAAAAGTCAAATCCTAAATAAAGCAAGGCAAAGACATGTATACCTGTCCAAGAAGGAACAAGCAAAAGGCCTCCTCATATTTTAAATCAATGCCTTCAGATGATATTAAGCACTCGCAAATTGTTCTTGCTTTGGTAATCTACATGAGAATGAAAAAAAGACTAACATGAATAAGTTTCAAAATCTCCATAGAATCTTATGATTTGCGATTCAATTAGTGATTTATGCATATATCGATACGAATCTATGAATGAAATGTATTTTGAAATAAAATCTATGGTGAATCACACAATTCACAATTCAGTTAACTTTTTACAATTCATGCAATTCTTGAAACTATTGTATTTGACAAATTCCTACCCTACCTCTTTTTATTTATTCTTTTAGTGAAAATGACATAATACAACTGCTAAAGAGTGTCTAGTACTAAAATAGCCATTACCTATGCATAGGGATGTGATCAAAGGATTTTTAAAATAATGCAATCATACCCAAAATTTTGTTAAACCTTTTTTCATCATTTTTTCCCTCAAAAATAATATCATAATTCATCTTTTAAGAATGTTTAAGGTTAAAGCAATTTGAACTCATGAATTATCTACTGTTATTTTAATGAAATAAATATAGTTCACTACTACATGGATCAAATCAGTTAAACCCAATATACCTTTTAAAGTATTTTATATTTTAAAATACAAGAGGTCACTTAATCCTTTCTTATTATTGGGGTTTGCTTTTTTTGATATCCAAGGACTAGAGAGCTGTTTGTGAATCTTAATGTTTTCTCTTTTTGTTTGATAGCTTCTTCTTCTTTACTTGTAAGAGGACTTCTTGTCCTCACCTTGTACCTTCATTTGCTTTATTAATAAGTTCTCTCTTTGTTACTGACCAAAAATATTCTATGTCGGGTTCCCAGATCCATTTTTTGAATGTCAAATACACAATCATTTAACATAATTTTTTACAGTTTGTACTGAATCTTAAAGATTCTCAATTCAATTAGATTCTTGATTCGCGAAATTATTATTTTGATTCATGATGCAATTCTCGATTTCACAATTATGTTCCGAATACAAATACATGTAGGTCAAATTTCATCAAATGTCCCTGTAGTTTCACTTGAGTTTCATTTTAGTCATGACGTTTCAATTTGAACACATTTGCCCTCCAAATTTTTGTTTTCGTGTCAAATGAGGACAATCAAAAACAGAAGTTAAGTTTTGGATGGAAAAGTCACATGTTTTGCACATGACCAACTTTCAAAGGCAATATGGTCTGTTTCTTCTCTCTTTCTACAATTCATCTTGCTTCTCCCTCCCACCACCATTCACAGCCACCAACCATTTTTATCACTGCCACCACCACCTCCAACACATCACCACCCTATGCATAGTCACCAATAACCATCAAAACACCTCCGCCACATCACCACCTCATCACACTAGCCTTAAACTAGTACCAAATCCATCCCAAATCTCCGCTGAACAGCCTATCTACCAATATAAAACCCATCTCCCACCACCAAAACCAGTGCAGTACCTCTACCACCCCCAAACCCACTTCCCACACCTTGAACCACCACCAAAACCAGCCCTCACTACAATCACACCGTCACCACCAAACCGTCACCACCACGAAAAATATCTTCAAATCCCCCATAACTCTTTAACCAAAGCAAACTGTTAAATCCACTGCAACATATACATACATATATATATATATGCTCAATTTTTTTGCTTGTCTCTTAATATTGGATTGAATTGAATTCATGGGTTAGGATTAATGATGGGTTTCATGCAATTTGATGTAGAAATAGATTGCCTCTCTGTTTCAACCAAAGCACACCATTATCAAGAAAAATAAATTTGGAGATTTTGGATTCTTTAAAATTGAAGCATGTGTGGATTTGTGGTGCTGTTAAGAGGGGACAAATTTCAGAGATTATTTTGTGGTGGTATGGGACAAATTTGAATTTCGGAAGAGGGATTTGGGTGTGGTAGGGAAGGAATGAGAAGGTTGGTTATGCTAGCCAACGATGGAGAGGGGTGCTGATGCTTTGGTGGTGGCAGTCGTGTGAGCAGTTGCTGGTGATGAGCAGTGATGGGTTTGTTGGTAGGTGATGATGATGAGTTGACTTAACTCAATAGTTGATCAAAAGCGAGTAGTGTGTTGGGATTGGGTTAATGTGGATTCCATTTTTGTGGTTAGCTATTCGTCATGTGCAATGCACATGTATAGTTTCCATCCAAAAATTTAACCTTCGTTTTTTATTGTCCTTATTTGACACAGAAACAAAAAAATTGAGGCCATATATGTTCAAATTGAAACGTCAAGGACCAAATGAAACTTGAGTAAAACTAGAGGGACTGTTGATGAAATTTGCCCTTTTTTATAGTTTGTACTAGGGTTGTACATGGGTCGAGTCGAATCGTTTTTACCGTCGACTCGCCACTTGACCTGATCAGATCGGGTTGAAAGAAACCCCATCAATTCCGACCGTCGTCTTTTTCGAAACTGTAAAAATCGAGTTGATCAGTTCAACAATCGGATCGAGTGAAACTGAATAACATATTGTGCATATGACCCCCAAAAAAATAGAGAGTAGAAAAAGATGAATTGTAGAGATCACAAACATTCCAAATCTAAGCTACTGAAAGAGATCAAATCAGAGGGGGAGGGGGTTTCATCGCCATATTCACCATCATCATCGTAACTCCGCCGGGGTTGTTAATAACTCCGCCGATCTCAAGCCCGGGTTAAGGAGGAGGGTTGTGTGTTAGGTAGCCGACAGCCAACACGTAAAAAAAGCCATTCGGATCCTTTATGAAAATAAATCCTATTTTGAATCGTTTAAATGCTAGGTTGTTACCCTCAAGTAACGCGTTGTGCCTGCCTTCAAGTGTTTCGAAAAGTAAGCAAGGGGCGCCGCATCGACGCCTGGGTGAAGTGAAAAATGGGCAAAGGTTCCCGTGTTTTCCTGGATGAGCGCGAATAAAGAAGCTAGTTCAAGAATACAGGAACCTTAACTGGTAAGACGATGGAATTGGTAAATGTTATGATTAGTATAGCTTGCGTACAAGAAACTAAGTGGACGGGTGAAAAAGCTAGGGAAATTGAGGATACCGGTTTTAAACTGTATTATAGTGGTAAGGACAGACGCAGGAATGGGGTAGGAATCATAATTGCCAAGGGTCTAGTGGAGAATGTAGTGGCAGTCATTAGGAAAGGGGATAGGATTATGTTAGTTAAACTAGTTATTGGAGGGAATATAGTGAACGTTGTTAGTGCATACGCCCCTCAAGTAGGATTAGATGCTCAGACTAAGAGCGATTTTTGGGAGAAAATGGATGAGATCTTACAAGAGATACCCGTAGGAGAGAATTTGGTTATAGGTGGAGATTTTAATGGCCATGTAGGCATAGATAAACTAGGCTATGAAAGGGTACATGGTAGATACGGTTTTGGTAGTAGAAATGAGGCTGGAAAGAGCATCTTAGATTTTGCGTTGACTTCTGACCTGGTGGTGGCCAATACTCTGTATAAGAAGAGGGAGGAGCAATTGATAACTTTTAAGAGTGAGTCAGTTAAGAGCCAAATAGATTACTTTTTAGTGAAGAAAGTGGACCGCCTAAAATGCAATGATTGTAAGGTGATTCTTGGAGAGAGTCTAACCTCTCAACATAGAATTTTGATACTAGATTTATGTTTTAGAGGGCAATATCAAGCTGGGAAGGATGGTGGGCGTCGTAAGACGAGATGGTGGGACCTAAAAAGGGATAAACTAGAAATTTTTAAGAATAGAATGGATAAGGAAGGTACTTGGGACTTGGGACTTAGGACTTGGAAGATGATGCTAACACTATGTGGAACTCGATGGCCAATTGTATGAAGAGAATCTCAAGGGAAGTGCTTGGAGAGTCAAAAAGGACGGGACCCAGCTCTAGGGAAACTTAGTGGTGGAGAGAAGAGGTTCAAGCGGGTAGTTAAGACAAAAAAAGAATGCTTTAAAAAGTGACAAAATGATAGGACTGAGGAAAACCTTAAGAGCTATAGATTGGCTAATAAGGAGGTAAAAAAGCATTGAGTGAGACGAAGTTGAAAGCTTATGATGACCTATACACTAGACTGGATAGTAAAGAGGGAGAGAAGAGGGTATACAAACTTGCTAAGATGCGAGAGAGGAAAACAAGAGATTTTAATCAAGTTAAGTACATCAAGAGTGAGGATTCTAAGGTATTGGCGAAGGATGAAGAGATTAAGGAAAGATGGAAAAACTATTTTGAGAAACTATTAAATGAAGAACATGGAGGTGCGACAATAGGGGGAGAAATGGCCAGTAATACGATAAACCAAGACTATAGGTTTTATCGCAGGATTAGGAACTTTAAAGTGGAGATTGCACTTAAGAAGATGAAATCAAATAAGGCTTTAGGACCCGATGATATCCCTATTGAAGCTTGAAAGTGCTTAGGTAAAAAGGGGGTTGCTTGATTGACTAGGTTGTTTAGCAAAATTTTGTTGACTAGGAACATGCCAGATGAGTGGAGGAAGAATATTTTAGTACCAATATATAAGAATAAAGGAGATGTCCAGAATTGCAACAACTATAGAGGAATCAAGTTAATGTGTCATATAATGAAAGTGTGGGAGACGGTGATGGAACGCCGATTGCGAGATATAACAGAGGTGTCAGAGAATCAATTTGGGTTTATGCCTGGCAGGTCAACAATGGAAGCGATTTATCTTTTGAGGAGAGTAATAGAAAAGTATAGAGAAAAGAAAAAAGACATTCATATGGTGTTTATCGACCTTGAAAAAGCATATGATAGAGTGCCCCGAGATATAATATGGTGGGTGTTAGTGAAGAAAGGGGTGACAAAAGGTTACGTTGATGTGATTAGGGACATGTATGAAAAGGTGGCGACCACTATTAGATCACCTGTTGGAGAGACAAATGAATTTCCTATCACTGTTGGGTTACACCAAGAATCTACCTTAAGCCCTTATCTTTTTGCTTTAGTTATGGATGAGTTGACGAGAAATATTCAGAATGACATGCCATGGTGTATGCTTTTTGCAGACGATATCGTGCTAGTAGATGAGACTAGAGAAGGAGTTAACACAAAGTTGGAAATTTGAATAAAAGCTCTTGAATCGAAAAGATTCCGGATAAGCAGAACTGAGACAGAGTACATGGAGTGTAAATTTAGTAACAGTAACAATGAAAGCAGAGGAGAAGTGAAGATTGAGAACCAAGCACTGCCTAAGAGTGAACATTTTCGTTATTTAGGGTCGATTATCTCAACAGCGGGGGAGATTGATGTGGATGTGGCTTATAGGATTAAGGCGTGATGGTGTAAGTAGAGAAGTGCGTCTGGGGTACTGTGCGATAAACGAATACCCACTAGACTAAAAGGTAAGTTCTATAGAATGGCTATTAGACCAACGATGTTGTATGGGGCGGAGTGTTGGGCAACCAAGAAACAACATGTAGATAAGATGAGTGTGGTGGAAATGAGGATGCTAAGGTGGATGTGTGGCAAGACTAGACAAAACAGAATTAAGAATTAGTGTATTTGGGAGTGGGTAGAAGTAACATCGATAGAAGATAAGTTGAGAGAGAGAATTGATTGAGATGGTTTGGTCACATTCAACGGAGACTAACAGAGACAGTAGTGAAGAGATGCGATGCTGTAACGGTAGAGGGGAGTATTAGGGGACAAGATAGGCCTAGATTAACGTTGGCTAACGTTGACTAACGTTGTAAATAGAGATATGGATCTACTTAATTTGACTAACGAAATGGCCTTTAATAGGGCCGCGTGGAGAAGAAGGATTCATGTAGCCGACCCCATTTGATGGAAGTCAAGGCTTGGCTTGGTTTGGTTTGGTTATTCACCATCATCATCGTCATCCCAAATTTGAGCACCATCTTCACCGTCCTTCAAATCTGAGCACCTTTTTTTTTGGGCAAGTAACAAATCTGAGCACCATCATCACCATCTCACAGATCTAAGCACAATCGTACCATCAATAGTACTATCGCCACTGTGAGAAGGAGATTAAGAGGGTAATGCGTTTACTGCGAGGGAGACAAGAGGGTGAGAGTATGAAAGAGATTATTGGGTTTCTAGAGAGAGTAAGTGTATGAAGGAGACTGTTGGGCTTGTAGAGAGAGAGGAAGAGTGTGAGCATGAGGGAGACTGTTGGGTTTCCAGAGGGAGCGCGAAACTGTTGAGTTCCTAGAGAGAGAAAGAGAGACAACATGAAATTTGAGAGAAGGGCAGTGGGCGAGAGGATTGAGGAGAAAGGGAGACAAATGGGAGGGTGGGTGAGAGGATTGAGGAGAGGGGGAGACAAGTGGGTGGGTGAGACATCAAGTCTCTAACTAACTCGGAGAAAGTATAATTAGTCTTGGGTAGATTTGTTTTTTTATAGGGTAAATATGCATGTTTTGAGAAGTGTAGAGTGATTAAGATAAGGAGGTGATAGCTCTGATTGTTGAAGTTACCAATGCTAGCTACATTGATAGAATAATAAAAGGTATATATACACGCGTATATAATTCGGTCGGATCGGTTTCTGTGAATTTTTTTTAGCTAAGCCCGACAACCGACCAAAAATGGACAAAATTTTAAACACAAAAAAAAAAAAAAAAACTGACCATGCAATTGGTCAAAACCATCCGCAACAAGGGTGGGTCATTAGGGTCCAGGCAAGTCCACCAGTAATTCAGGTTTTTGAACACCCCTAGTTTGTACTAAATCTTAAAAATTCTTGATTCAATTAGATTCTTGATTCGCAAAATTATTCTTTTGATTCATGACGCAATTCTCCATTTGACAAATTATGTTCAAAATACAAATACATGTCTCCTTATATGTACGTGTATATATGAATGTATGTAAAAACACACACAACATGCACAAATTGTTTTTTCTAATGAAGTCTGACAAAAAAAAAATGGCAGCCCAATGCACAAGGCTCCTACCACTGTGGGTCTAGAGAGAGTCAAATGTATGTTTTCATGCTTCAAGCCCATGACAGCAGATAGCAACAAAGCAACCTTACCATTGCGGCAAGGTCCACCCTCTAAAAAAAGTCCAACAGAATTACTACAGTACCCATAGATTAGAACTTGGTTCATATTTCATCAGATTTTTATATCAAAAAAATAAAATAAAATAAGTTCAAGCAGTTGTACCGAGGTGGAGCAAGGGATTACCAAATCAGTTTGCTTGCTTGAAAATCCAAGAGCAATATGAGCTGTCAATGCCATGTAGAAAGAAATGAAATCAATCACAACCCTCTGATTCTGTGATTCAAGGGATTTTTTATTCTTCCTAGTAACAGCTAAATTATCCCAAGGAAGAAGATTAACTATTTCTGTAGCCATGAGCTTATTAAGTGCTTGACTCAAGAAGCATGGCCAATCTTGCACTTGGCATGGTGCTTCCGCATCAAGGCCCTGTCTAAGCAGTTCACGCAAGGCTGCAATGGCTCCTAGTCTTCGTTCAGCATTTTCAGGTGTGCAAGGCTTGCCTAATAATTCCAATGTACAAGCAGGTGCAAGCTCTTCCAAAGATTCTTCTATCTAGGAGCATCAGCCAAAGAAAAAATTACTGTAAGCAGCAAGCAACTATACATACTCTAAAACAAGTAAAATACCATTTAAAATAGCAAAGAGCATGGCATTGAACCAAAGAACAACTAAAATAGCATGATATCCACAAAAAGCGGCAAACGACATCTAAAAATACCGTTTTGATGCATAAGCTGTAGGAGCAGTTTCAACCAGATAAAAATATTTGAACATCTAATATACTAGTACTTTCTTTCAATCAATTTTATCATGTTATTTATTTCTTAACCTCTGATATTGTTCTGATCAGAAAAGTAAGAAGAATCACATAATTATAGGGATAACCATCACATTTATCCCGGTAATAAGACAGAAATACAAACCTTGTAAAAAAAAAATGAGACAGCAACCACTAAAGAGATTCACCTGAGATAACAATTTCATCTTCCCAAGAGATATTTTACTCCTGAGAAGACACTGGGCACGAGCGAGAGCTTCAAATCCGTGGGAAATATTGTTCTTCTCAAAACTAACTGTTGCAATTGCACACTTAAAGAAAGCACCTATATAAGAAAAGGAAGCATAAAATAATTGCAAGAAATGAAACGTTACAAAGTCCGGGCCTCTTACGCTTTGCCTTACCTCTGCCAAAGCCATAGACAGAAGCAAATCATGAATATAAGGCTTAGCATCTGGATGCTGGAGTGTTGATTGGCCAATATCTAGCACAAGTTTCTCCTCTCCAACCTAAATCAGAAAAATCAAATCCCCATCATACCCATAATCTAAACCAAAATTACTAAAACTCAGTAGTTAAGCTGCAAATAAAATGTTGAAGGTCTTAAATGAAAGAATAAAGGGGGGAAAAGGATCAGGAAAAATGAATGAGAACAAAGGGACCATGGACTCAAAAGCAAATGGACTCAAAAGCAAGGTCACAAATTAAGGCCCACTACAAACCTAAGAGAGTTGGTCTCTTTCAGAGTATATTTCCTCTGCATGAAAAGATGAACTGGAATTTCCTAAACTAATATAACCATTACATAGAGTTGTACCTCTTGAAGAAGGCAAAGAGCACCAGGCAACCAAGCCCAAGGGATACGAAGAGGAGTTTTAGGTGGGACCTTCTCCCTTATATTACCAGCATATTCCGGTTCAAAAAGAAGCTTATCCCTCACATCCAATAGAAGATTCTGCAAATAAATAACAAAAGAGAATAAGGATATAAAAGGACCCAAAAAACCAGCAAAAAAGAAACACTGCCACTACACATCCAGATAAAAAAATATGTTAATCAAGCTGACTTCCCACAGAATTTTCCACTCCCTACCTGGCGAGAAACAACAGCATCAGCGGTGTACCCTTCTTCAATCTCGGCATTTTTCAGATCCATCACTGACTTGACAATCTCATCCTTCTCTGCTTGATATCGAACACCAACAATCTGCAAGTTCATATATTTTACCCTACATCATAAATACATAGTTAACTTGCACTAACCCAACACATTTCACCCATCTTAAAAGCATAAAAAGAATAAGTCTTAGGAAAGTAGATGGTAGAGGTTGAGTAGGTGGGCTGTGAAGCCCTCAGGAAAGTATGCTAGGCACTCAGACGGCATGACCATGTCTAGTGTAATTATTTTTTATTCCCCATTCATTTATACTTATATATATATATATATATATATATATTTGTCTACCTTCATTGGGCTTAGCTTTAAGTGCATGCGACAGATAGTTGTCCAATCGGGATTCGAATCGTGAATCAAAATGGCTTCATACCGAATCGCGAATCAAATCGAATCATGAATCGTAAAGATTCGATCACTTTTTCTAAATTACTTAGGAAAATATATCTACACACTTGAATATTAAATATATCTTATGAATATGAAATATTTAGACTTAAATCAATGAAAATATTATTTTGAATGATAATCACGTAGTTTAATAGGTAAGAAGTTAACAAAAGTTCCTATGTAACGTCTTACCTTTTCTCTGTTTTAGATATTTCTTATCAACATTCTTAATACAAATAGTAAATAAAGACAAACTCTGAATTTTCAAAATAACAATAATTTAATAACAATATTGATATTTGGAGAACAAACATATATACTTTTCCAAGTAACAATGACCAAATAATAAGAAAGAATTATTTTGGATCTTTTATTTTAAAGTCTAAAACATTTTTAAATGTATAATTGACGTCACTCGTGTAATATTCAACTATATTTAATTTAATAAAATAGCAATAGATAATTCATAGTATAAGTTACTTTAATCTTAAAACATCATTAGAAAATATCTTATGACTTTTGTAAGAAAAAAATGAGAAAAAATGTTAAAAACATGTTGGATTTTTCTGAATCTAATTGAATCCTATTAAAAACTTCACGATCACTAAAATAATAACAAATCATGTATATATATTGGTTATTTTGGTACTAAAAGCTATTAGTTGTATTATGTCATTTTCATTAAAAAGGAGAAAAAAGAGTCAAAAATATATCGGACACAATAGTTTCAAGAATTGTATGAATCGTAAAATGTGAATCGAATTGTGAATCGTGCGATTCACTACAGAATCACTTCCAAAATTGATTCACCCATAGATTTGTATCAATTTTGCAAAAATTGAGTATCGAATCATGAATTGAATCACAACTCATAAAGATTCTGATAACATATAGCAAACAATTGAAAAAAACACCAATAAGATCTCGTAAACTAGGGAAGCATGAAATTGTGGAGACTAATTTAAGAACTTTTCAGGGACGCTGTAGTTACCAATGCAGTGCCTAACTTTCCTCTGAAAACTGAGTGGGCCAATTTACATGTTGCACCAGATAAAAACATGCATATTTAGTACAATCAGTGGCTGTGGACAATGCAAACTCTACAAAGCTCCCTCTCAATTTTCATGCCATATGAAGCGAGGGCAATCACATTACTAGCTGCGAACCTTATGTGCAGTACATCTAATTCATTAACATCCTCCAAATTAGTTTGGGGGAAAAAAATTGAGAAACAAAATAGAAATTAAAAATCTGGAGAAGGAGGACACTGGACAAGATTTTGAAATTAGGAAGTTGATGCGATAGGTAAAATAGAAATTGTCAGGCTTCAGAAACAAAATCACAGGACCGTTGCACAAGGTACATTTCCCTTTTGCCACTTTTCCTCCATCCATTATTATCTCATCATCATCAGCCAAACCAAGATCCAAGCAAACCCTTAGGTTAGGGATGATGATGATGATGAGGAGGAGGAGGAGGAGGAGGAGGAGGAGGGGGATAACTGACCAGCAGATTGTGAATTACATGTGACAGTCTCTCATTAATTTAGCACAAATCAAAACAGACAATTGAGAGAGAATTCAATTAGTATACATACCTGGTAGCAAGTGACGGGAATATCCAGGGTCCGTGTCTGGGTATCGCTATTGTTACTACTACTACTACTAGTGTGATTGTGGTTGTTGTTGGTGGTGGTGGTATCGACAATGCGAAGGTCGGCAGAGTTCAATCTGGACCGGGCCACAGCCAGCAAACCTCTCCTCCTCCTCAACGAGAGAGCCTCCTGAACCCTAGAGCAAAATTGCTGGCCCAATCTCTTCTTGTTGGTTTTTCTAAAGAAGTAGATTGTTTCTAATGAATAATCTACAGACACCCGGTAATGGTAATGGTAATTGTAATGGTTGTGGTCGCTGCTGCTGCAGAGATTGTTTCCACAGAGACAATTGGCAGTTACACTCGGCACCAGATGCGAAACTAATAATGCCATCATACATACATTCATCCATATGTATATATAGATACACACTTATCCTACTAAAGGATTCATACTCTCCCTCTCTATTTCTTCACCATCATCATCCTTTTGATTGCAAATGCAGTGAGCGAATGGAAGTGAAAAAAACAGACGAATCTCTCTAACGTGGTTGTTAGGGTTTCTAATTTCCTAGTTTTTCGTTTTCGGCATCGCTAACGTTTTTACGTTTTATGTTTACAAAAAAATTTATAAATTAGTTTTTTTTTTTTTAAAAAAAAATATATATATATATCTATATAATAAGGCACAAATTATATTTTAACCCAACAATTTTATATTCAATTACATTTTGATTTTATCATTATTTGCACCGTGGCTTTAGGCACGGGCATACACTAGTATATATATAAATTATAAATGCGTTTGTTTTTAATAAAATATTTTTAAAAAATTAAAATATATATTCGTTCAGGACTAAAATATTTATATTTATTTTTTATTATTTATGATAATAGGATGATACACATTATAATTGAAAAAAAAAACAAAAAAAAAATTTATTAGTCAAATTTTTAAATTTCTGTTTAAAAATCAACGTAAACTCATTTTTTAATTTTACGTTTTTTCTTTAAATTTATAAACTAAGACAACTAAAACCAAAAAAAAATATCAAATAAGTTTTTGTGACAGTTTTTAAAATTTTTGTAAATATAAACTAAAAACGAAATTGTTATCAAACAAGCCCTAAGCGTCCGTGCATTTTTTTTTAATTAAATTTAAGTAAAAATTTGAGCGTTAAAGGTTTTTAAAGTTTTATCAAATTATCAGTCGATTGGGCGAACAATTGGGCGGATGTCTAATCGGTCGATCAGTCAGTGTAATTTTTTTATAAATTTTTGCCCCAAGGAACATTCGGTAATAAAAATACAACGGCAATTAACATTAATTTAATAAAAGGTACATCCGCCCTCAATTTGATGAAAGATTTGAAAAATCTTGAATTTGATGAAAGGTTTGGTGTCGGGTTGGAGCAACAAAAAAATATGTTTTTTCATTAAATTTAAAATTAAACGACCCATTTGATGAATTATTAGAGATGACCTAATACTATAAACTCGTAAAATTATTATATCTTTTTCTAATTATTAAGGCATTTCTAATCGTGCATCTTTTTTTTTCACTATATTTGAATAAAAATTTGAGTAAAAGCTCCATTTGATATCCAGTACTCCAACAGAAGTTTTTAAAGATTCATCAAACCATCAATCAACCAGACGAATGTCCGTTCGATCGACCGGCCAGTATAAATTTTTCACAAATTTTTACCTTGAGGTGGTCATCTGGGAGACATTCCGGTAGTGAAAATCCAACGACAATGAATAGTGATTTGATGAAAGGTACATCTATTCTCAATTTAATAAAAGATTTAAGAAATACTGAATTTGATGAAAAGTTTGGTGTTGGATTAAAGTAACAGAAGTAAATTATTTTACCAAATTTAAATTTGATGATCTATTTAATGAACCGTTTGAAATGGTATCACCTTGCTTGGTTTCCAGTTTTTCAAAACACTTTTCAGAAAATTCTACTTTCTTATTTTTCGTGTTTTTTTATTTTTACTGATTTTTTTAATATTTTAAGCAATTTTTTTACTTTTTAGACACACCTAACATAAATACACTTAAAAAGTAAAAAAATTGTAAAAAAAGCCATTGATGACCTCCTTCAGCAATGCTATCTGATCTCAGATCGGTTGTGAAGCACAGTAGGGAGAGGGAGAGGGAGAGGGAGAGAGAGAAAAAGGAAGAGGGAGTTGAGGATAACGTTTGGGTAGAGGCAGGCGTGTTTGGTAGGCGTGGGAGAGAGAGCAGAGCGTGTTTGGGCGGGAATCAAATACATCCCAACCGTTGATATATATTTGGGATTGATCTTAGCCCTTGGATCAAAATATATCTCACATACATTTTGATACATTTTTCAAAAAGCTTTGTGCCTTATTATATAGATAGTAATAATTTTAAGAGTACTTCACATAATTTTAAATTTATACTATTATTTAATTTTGATTAATTTTTTTAAATATTAAATATTTTATTTTTTCTATTCTTTATTTTTAGTTAATTTTTTTATATTTTAAATAATTTTGAATTTCTTTATTTTTATTTTCATATATTTTTTATTTAGTGACTTTTTAAAAAGTTTTTCTTACAATTTTATAATTTTCATGCATATCTAGATTAATTGCATTTAAAAAGTAAGACATTTGCATACAAATATTAAAGAAATCACTAAAACAAATCATTTAAATATCTAGATTAATTGTATTTTAAATGATTTGTAATTTTAAGATATAAAAACTATCTTTTGAAGATCGGAAACAAAACCATATAATATGAAGAATAGCTTCTGTAATTTTTAATGACAATTGAGATGGGGAATTTCCACCAAACATAATGGGCCGAGCTACCTCTTACTGAAGGGAATTGTGTCGAACAAAAAGGATCGAGCTAAGACTGTTAGTCCATGATTGGCCGAGCAAAGCCAATAAAGATTAGTCGAACTGAAGGAGACACGCGTAAGTCCTTGCCAAGCTGTGAGGTTAGACCGAGTTGTATGGCCGTGTAAAGTTTGACCTGACTACAAATGAAAGTAGCCTGACCGAGCTAAACGTGCCCGGTCAAGTTGTGAAAACCCTGTAAGGGCTGACTGGCCAAGTTTAGCTCGAACTGATAGAACCAATATGAGGTAGGCCGAGTTGTGCAAGTTCAGTCACAGCTAAAGATAGCTCGATTGAGTGCCTCTCTTGGTCTAGTACCACGTGGAGGACAAATTGTGCGCTGCCCAAGTTATTGTTGTTTGTCAGGTTGTCTACTTCTGATAAGTGTACGCGTGTAAGGGAATTAAAGGGCAAAATGTCTTTACCCCAAGACAATGGGAATAACGTGCACCATATGGAGAAGTGGGAAAAGTTATTTATTTAAGACTTACGAGTTCATTCTTGAAGGTAAACAATCTTAAGTCAGAAAACTCTCTTATTCTCTTATATTCTCTGAGGGTGCTAACTAGACCGTTGGAGGGATTTTTCGACAAGACACCCACCGGTTAGCTTACCTTTATTGTGTTTACAGGAAAAATGACGCTGTTTGGAGTAAGACAAATACGAAGGCAAAGAGTATGAAAGTGAAGAATATTTGCTCCCCGTACAATTGACACCATCTGTGCGAAACTTGACACTCAAAACCTAGTCCTCTAAGCTTTTTTGACCGACTTCAATAGTAAACAACGACGAGATTCCACTATTCGTCGTCGACGGCATCATTCTAGAGTCAGTTCGGAGGCGTGGTGACCTGTCCACCATTCCGAACATGGCTAGTCTAGAAACCTTCACAAGAGGGCTACCCAAAAATGGGTGAGACAAACGCGCGAGGAGCTCTGAGCACTAGCAAAGCCTTGAAGGGCACTGGCGACGTAAAGGGTTGCACATTCAACATCTAGAGCATAAGTTGAGAGATCAAGACGTTGTCATCCGCAAGATGGTAACGAAGATGGAGGCCATAAAGCGCCAATTGAAGGGAAAGGGCGCTACTGGGGTGAGAAACAACAATGAGAGCGCCCAATCCCACCACTCTGGTAGTCAAAGTCGACGAACCACTCTTTTACTCTCCATCTTAAGGAGTTTTAGAGCCAACAATTCCGTCACACCAGTAGAAATGTCTCGTACTCGAGATAACAGCTACCATCACTCGCGTCCACCGACGACGTCTATATGCTCGTACTCCGTTTGATTGGAGGATTCGAGAGACGTCTTAGAGGAACAAGCACGCCGGAGGAAAGCCATGGGAGCGCCGGTGCTAAGATCGACTCCCAAAGTTTATGCAATTGAATAGGTAACCATATCACTACCACGTTCAATGGTGAATGCGCCGGGGGTTGGAGACTCGGCAAGATTAAACAACACTCTCTTTTCCCTAGAGACCGAGAACGCGCCTTTCCCCGCAGACTTCCATTAACTTAAGTTCAACCTCTACGAAGGGTGGATAGACCCTTACTTACATGTAAACCATTTTCGCCATGTCATTTGTCACGACCCAAACCCACCCCCATAGGTTTAGCATCGTAACCGGCCAGTAATCCTTGGATTACCAAAGGCCTCTAAATAGAATAACTTATAATTAGGGGTCGCGGAAGCAATTATAGAAACATCCATAATCCAATGAGCTATGGAGACATATATGGGACAAAAATTTTAAACTTATATACACATATGCATGACATCGTAATGTCGTAGGCTTACGTCACATTCGTTACAGATATAGCCAAAAAGGGACTTAGCCCAATATACAGATGACTGAAATCCTGTTCATAATTCAAAGGAAAACGAAGCCCTTTTATATTTACAAAAACATGATCACATGACGTATGGAACCTCCTCATGAGACACAAGGGCTGGCTGACAAAAACTCTCCAGGCGGTCATCACTGAGCCTGGTCACGCACCTGATCACCTACATAAATATATAATACAGTGAGTTGGAGTCCAGTAAATAATAATAGAATAAAGGGTTTAATGAATGTTGTTCATAACAGTTATAGAAAACAGAATTCAGTAGTTATCATAAATGGATTCATAATCATGTTCAGAAATCATAGTTCATAACAGATACAGATTTAGAATCATATTCATAATCAGAATTTGCAGTTAATCATATGTGGTACACTCATTAGCACTAGCAGAAACAGTTGACCCATTAAGGGACCGCTATAAAGGCATACAGTTGACTCACGTGCACGAAGACAGTACAATTGGCTCAGGAAACGTACAGTTGGCCCATAAATGGGACGTATACAGAAGGATCCATAATAGTTGGCTCATGAGACGTGCAGTTGGCCCATAATTGGGACATAACAGAATAGATAACAGATGTCATCTAAAACTAAGAATGCCATGAATACATTTTAGAAACATTGGACAACCATTCATTCATACAGAAAATAATATTTTAGAAACAAATCATCTTATATGATTCAGAAAATACTTATAATTGAACATAGCTTTACAAAGTTACTACTCACAAATGGCTCTAAAGCAGATGGATAAAACAGATAACTGAATAGCCTATGGCACGTGACCTACACAACACATAATAGATACACATTTGAAACACACGCTCAAGATATACTTAACTCATTACATTTCATTCTTAGCGTGTTCCCAGCCTT